ACGACTGGGCTCCCGGAGACTCGCGATGGGACGGTGAGGGCGTCAGGGCCTGTGGCCTCCGCCTCCGACCCAAAGGAGGAAGAGAGCGCGCGGGCTCGCAGGGTGCTGGGCAAAGCCAGGAGCGCGCAGGCAGCCAAGCGCTTTATGGGCAGTGTTTTTCAACATCCCGTTTGTTACCTCGGTGCAGGGGAGAGAGACCCGAGAAACAAAGTGACCCTCTTGCTCTAGATACCTGCACCGTTCCCAACTGATGGCGGTGAAATTTGAACCCTGGCAATCTGATTCTTATGATTAGGCTATATTTTCTGTCACTCTACCTTCTTCCTGTCTCGATTTTTTGCGGTGATGGCCATTGAATCCAGGACCTTGCACACCCTAGGCAAGTGCTTTACCACTCAACGACACATTCAGCCCTTCTCTTTTTTGGTGTTTCGCTTGTATTATTGGATTTTTAAATTTTACACTTTAATTTTAAAGTTTACTCCACTTTTAAGTGTACAGTGCAAAAATATTTGACAAATGTGTAGAACTGTGTGACCACCGCCATTCACCTAGTCTAAAGCATTTCCATCACCCTAAAGTGTGCCTCTGTGGCCCTTCCGGTCTCCTCTCTCACCACTGCTCCCCGATGCCTCCTGATCTGATTTCTGTTTCTGTAGAAACTTGGTCATTTCCAGGACCGTAAACTCATACAGCAGGTAGCTGATGTATCTGACTTCTTTCATGCTCTTCCCTCTCGCTGCCCTCACTGGGGATTGAACACTGGAGGGCTCTACCCCGAGCTACATCCTCAGCCCTTTTTATTTTGACATAGCACCTTGCTAAGTTGCCCAGGCCGGCTGCAACTTCAGTCCTCTTGCCTCTGTCCCAGGTAGCTGAGGATACAAGTGAGAGCCACCATTACTGGCTCGTGAGTCCCATATGTGGTGTTCTCGCTGAACCGCACAGACTTTAAAAAGGAAATTTCTTGCCATCACCCAAGGGTAGTGAGGACTTAGAAAGGGGAAGGGGCTCTCGTTTGGAGGGAAGGATGCATTGGCTAAGGAACCAGGAGCAAAGCCTGGGGACTTTGCAAGATCCTGTCTCTAAATAACATTTGAAAGGGGCTCAGTGCCCCTTCAGTGCTTCAGTGGTAGAGTGCTGGACTGGGATGCTCTAGGCCCTGTGTTCAGTTCCCAGTATCAGAAGATAAATAGAAAGTATTAGCTCATGGTGGATCCCACAGGTAGATTGCAGGCTCTTGTGTGGACAAGCAGAGAGTTGCAGAGCATACATCCAATGGTACGTGAAAGGCAGCACCATTTATTGAAGATCACCGAAAGATGCAATCAGGGAAAGTTTATACCAGCAGGAACAAAAAGGGTGGCATCAACCAAAAAGTGCTATCAGAGCAACAGGGAAGTAAAAAGCACTGCACACAGACAATACAGGCTTTTGGATTTTTAAAACTAGCGCATCCCAGTGCAAGTGCCTCTCGCTGTGTCTCTAGGCAGGGAGACGGCAGCTGTTCGGCTCCAATCCAAGTTTAGGATTTCACTATGAGACATGGAAGATGCTTTCAAGGGAAGGACTATAGTGAAAAATCAGACTTTCTTTCCTCCCCCACACAGAGGCCTCACGACAGACCTTGGGATGCTCAGCAGCTCCCAGGGCTCCTTGAGCCTCAGGGCTAAAGGGGAACCCACTTCTCTTGGAAACAAGCTAGGAGCCTTATGACAGCTGATGCACAAAGTAGCCCAAGCCTCAGAAACTCAGGTGGAGACTCAGTGAAGTAAACACGTGAGGTACTTTGCAAAGGCTGGGAAGTGTTGGGAGGGGGCGTTTAGCTCCTTGAGCTGAGAAAGCTGGCCTGGCAATAAACAGGCTCCTGTCAGGGGATTGGTAAAAGGAGAAGGCTGGGGCCTCTGCATCCTTTCTTTTTTATTTTATTTATTTATTTATTAGTATTATTTTTTAATCAGGGGATCGAACCTGGGACCTTTGTATGAGCTAAACCACAGCCCTGGTTGTTTGTGTTTGTTTAGTGGTGAAATGGACTAAACCCAAAGCCTTCCCACTGAGTACATCACAAGCCCTCTTTAAATGTTTTATCTTTTTATATTTGTTTTTAACTTGGAGATAGAGTCTGTCCAGGTGGCCCAGGCTGGCCTTGAATTTATGATCTTTCCGTCTTAGCTTCCATCACCAGGCATGCACCGTCACACCTGTCTCCTCTGATAGTCTTACGTTTACACCAAATGTTTATCTCTGAAATTTTTTCTTGTCTCTTCTTTGACACACTCATCCCTTAATTCATTCTTCCTTTCTTCTTCTTCTTTTTTTTTTTTAACGTAGTGGGGGTTGAGCCCAGGGCCTTGTGCATGCTAGGTAAAGGCTACCACTGAGCT